AAAAGATAAGAATTAATAAGATAAACATAAAAAAATAAAATATAAAAAAATATTAATATATTTATTTTATTAGATATAACAACATAATTAAAATGTAATTAATAATATATATTTTATAAAATTATTAATATTTTATATATAAAAAAAGGATGAAACAGGAACGACCCGTTCTGAAACCGGAACGAGTCATTCTGGTTGCATTTTTGGTGCGTTAATTTTACACCTGGAACGGGCCGTTCCGGATGCAAAATTAACGTATCAAAAGTGCAACCAGAACGGCCCGTTCCGGTTTCAGAATGGGTCATTCTGGGTCTAGGTATTTTCAAAAAAATTGTCATCCACGTGGCATCTACGTATGCATCTACATGACATTCACGTGACCAAAAGTGAACTCCGTTTAAATAATTTGGACAAAAATGAAACTAATTAATTAGTTTGGGACCAAATTGAAACAAAAAAATAAAAGTGAGACTAAATTGAAACCTTTTTTATGTTACTCAACATAACCATAACCATTTCTTTTAAGTGATTAAATGTGAACTTCTGACACTTTCTCACGAAGATCGAACATCGATCTAAAATATAAATCCTACACATGATCTAATAATTACTGGATGAGCCTAACAATATCTACTAGTGTATATACAGGCTGTAATGTCATTAAAACTTGAGTTAAAATTAACTCCACAAGATGAAAATTGTACTTTATTTACATATATTATTTTAGAACCGATGAATGCAATATATCCAACAGAATGCATAAATTTTAAACGTCTCCGTCCTCTGTAAACTCGTGAAATGGCAATTGGTATTAAAAAAAAAAAAAAAAAAGTACTCATCCGGATTAGTAACAACTCAAACCATGATGCAACATATTGACAAAAGTAATTATTCTCAGCAAGTATATGTTTCATTTATTGTATGACAAAGGGAATACATGTTATCAGCCAAAGCCAGCTACATACGACTTCTTGGTGATTATAAAGCTATGATTCATTTAATCATACTTTTTTTTAAACATACAGCTATTCCGGTTTATAAAAAATAGTATAGCTATTCCAGAAAAAGATGTTGAAGGTAAAAGCAACCACAAACTTGACAAGCATGAAAGAATGAATTACTTGCATTTGTCTCTCAAATTATTTTCATAAGAATTTTTTGTCAAAGGACTATCGATAGTACGCCATGTGTCTGGATGAAAAGAATGGAGAACTAGCAAAAGAAGTCTTTTGGACAGGGTTCTTCTTTTCAAGCTTTGTTTCAGCACGGAGCCAGGACTCAACAACAGACAGCAGATTAGTTGTAGATTTCAACTCGTTAACATCTGATAATTTTTCAGCTCTTCTCAGTTCACCATCTTGTATGTATGCCAAATGAGTTGCCCACGTCTCTAGTCCATCAAAAATATGAGTTGCATATACGATTGTAGCTTCTCTCTGCAAGAAATAGAAAACATGAGAAAATAAGTGTTGTTTTTGAACCCAACAAACCAACGTTAGAAAGCAAATATCAACCTACAGTTAATAACCTAGAAGACTACCATTAAAGCTAAAGAGAAGATAAAGAAGATGATAAAATAAAAACTGATATTTGCTTCCTAGCATTTTGATGCTTTCATTGAGAGACGAACTGAATCTGAATTGTATTCACCCAAGCCTATGAAGCATCAATGAAGAAATATTAGTCTTTATTTTATCATCTACGTAGCTTCTTTATCTTCCCTTTAGTTTAATGGTAGTCTTCTCGGTTATTTACTGTAGCTTGATATTTGATTCCAAACATCCAGGCTCCAGCCTTCCTAGGATGGCCATATCATCACCCCTTCCTAAGTGATAATAATTTATCAAGGGATTATACTTTCCATAATTGCTTTAAGTACGCATATTAGGGCATGTCTAGCATATACTTTGTAGTTTGTCCCTTGTAAAAATTGAAGATCAAACTCATATTATTATATTTTAATATGATTATCATTCCAACAAGAACCAGTTATCATCTAATGCCACATTGAGGCCATCCTTGTTACAATTTTCCATACCCATATGGCATATCCAGTGTGTTTCAGCAGGCATATAGATAGAGCCAGTAGATACCTGTTCACATTCTTCCCTAAAGAAGTCCAATAAATCCATCCGGGTAACAACATCCAGATCAACAGTAACCTCATCCAGCAAGAGAACCTGAAACGTCAATCAAGGGTTCCAGTTATATATCCGGTTTGATAACAAAAAAATAATAATAATGCAAAAGACATTAATGCATTGTCAGAATTCAAAGCTTTTTCTCTTCTTAAAAGGCCACTACGATATATAGTAGGCACCATACTAGTGAGCATTGACAAATTGTCTGCAGCATAAAAACCATACATAAATCCTCTAGGTTTTAAATGATACCTTATATGGATAAAGAAGACCAAGACAAATTTGCACTCGACGCCGCTGCCCATCGGATACCTTATGCATTCGCCACTGCAGATCGATATCAAGCAGATCGATTAACTTATCTCTCCTATCAGGATCAGCGCCCTCAACTGATAAAAGTAGGAAATACCTTAAGTTCTACTATACATCAAGACCAAAGAACAAGTGTATTTGAATTGCTAAATATTATATAAAAAATAATGCAACATTACAAAAGCCAGTTGCAGACATGGCATGATGATTAGCTTTTCTCTTGATATTTAGAAATCGAAAAATGAAGATACAAATGCAATTTGGCAACAAAGACAACTACATCCGAAACCCACCTCCAAAGATCATATGTTCTGCAGAGAAGTCTCCTTGGAGCGGAATTTCTCCCTGAATATATGAGCAACTACATTAATACTTGAAATGTTCCCTGAATATATTAGCAACTATATTAATACTTGAAATGAAATTAATCAAAGCATACAAAAATCAGGTTATTAAGTGAGGTTAGGGTAGACTAGTAGAGTATGTAAATCACCCAAAAAAAGATTATACAAAGAAAAATCAGTAACATAAAAATTGTCTCAAAAGAAAACTATTAAACCAAGGCTCTGAAGTGGGTTACTGTAATCCATGAACATTGGGCAAGAATCCCACATTATGGATATGGACCGGGTTAACAATGTTAACGCATGGCTGTTTCACTTTCAGTAACATGGAAACCAAACATTGGAAAAAATCTGTGCAGCAGTTATTAGTTCTGGCTAAGAGAGCGCAAAGGCTGCGCATCTGATCTGTACTTAAACAGAAACAAAATTCCCTAACTTGGTCTTATAATATTAACCTTTACTAAAATCCCAAATGAAATGTTTTTCTTAAAAGAAACTGAAAAGTGAGGAGAAAATAATCAATTCAAATTAACAACAAAGGCCCACACCATATTTAAGCTTCCTAATTTTAAGGAACAGATTTAAAACAGATAAAAGCTACAGGTGAGCTTTGCTGATACGATTACATTTTCCTGAATATCCACATTACCAGCACCCCTTCTAGTCTATGAATTTGAAAACCAGCCTATATTTAGATGATTTATACCTTATTATAGATAAAAAATGATAGAAGAAAGGACAGTAAAACCTATCCTCACAGCTAAAAGATTGCTAAATTAGTATACCAGTAAAAATTGCCACCAAGAAGGAAAAGAAACTCAGCACTAGCTTAAGCGAAACAGAATTGAAAGCATCCAGTGTAGCGAAAAACACAAAAACAGGTTCACAGTGTGCAAACATTGTAAATGGCTCACAAGATAAACAGGAAATTTACCCTCACCAAGAAATTACAGCAATTAACTAAAAGTTTCAGCATAAAACTCGAAGATCACATAAAGAAGTTGGTAGTTGCCATGCTATCATAAACAATAAACAATCAAAATACACTAGCACAATATTATGGTCCGAGTGAAAGCGAACAAATAGTCAATAATCAACTGTAAAAACGCCAAAAAGGGAAAGTTTCCCCTAATCCGCAACCACGTGAAAATCAACTCTAAATGATTTTAGCTTGTCCGAAATGCTGATTTAAACTTATGCATAATCTAATCATAGCTCAGTGGACATTCCTTCTTATTTTTTTTCTTTTATAAATAATTAAGGAAATTTTGATCTAAACAGGGCACGAAAAACTCACAGCGGAGCCAACGTTTTTGCTCCAGGATCCGCCCAAGTAAGCGAGATCGCCGCTACAAACGAGTTGAGTGTCATGAAAGGCTGAACCGTTGAGCACGCGCACCACGTCTCTTCCTCCAACCATGTGCTTCCCCGCCAGAATCTTCAGCAAAGTCGTCTTCCCTGCGATTAACGAACTTCAATCACAAATTCCTCACACGCGTAACGCATTAACAAACAGTAACAGTGAACGGAAAAGCTGAATTAGGTTACCGGATCCGTTGGCGCCGACGAGGAGGCAGCGCGATCCGGGTTCGACGTCGAGGCTGAAGTCGAGGAACAGCGGCGGTTGCTGCACGTCGTAGGAGAATTGCATGGCGTTGACGCGGATTCCGCGGGAATCTTCTTGCTCTGGCGCCATTGTTGTGAGTGTGCGAGTGCAACCGCCATTGGAGAGGGATTTGTTCATATTCTCTTGGGTTCCGATTTGGGGCCAATGGGAAACTTACACGTCAGTGTCTTTGTTTGGTAGTTGAAAACCAACGAAACGAAACGAAACGAAACGTGTGAATAAACGACAACCCACGTCGCCACTTCCACCCACCGTTTTTCGGTGCTTAATGGAACTTCCAAAACGCGCGGTCGTCAAGCCCCAACCCCTGCGTGTCAAACCATATGGATATGATATGTTTTTATGACAAAAACAAAATCACGTGAATTTTTCTTACATATATTCATTTTAAACTTAAATTCAAGACCACCTAACTAAGTTGAAAGAATCTCATACCATTTTATTCGTGTATTTGATTGTTCATATTAAATTTTAGTTTGATTGTTTTAGTTTTTCTGAAATATAAAAATATATATTAATTTTTTAATTTAAGAAAATATTAAACAAGCTTTTTTAGAAGGCTAAATAAATCTTTAAATTTAACTTTTTTTTTAATTTATCTCTAAATATACATGAATATCACTACTTTTTTAAATAATCTAAATTAACTTGCAAATTTTAACCGATTGATATTATACTATTGGATCGAGGTGTGTGTCATTTACCATTTTTTTCACAACCTTACTTGTATTGTATGCTTTATTTTACTAGAAAGAAACTTAAAATGTGTTCCCACGTCAAAAAAAAAAAAAAAACTCTAATTGAATTAGAAGAAAATAGGAAAATGAAAAGAATAAAAATGTGAGTTCCATTGAAAATTTTTAACTTTATTTTTAAAAAAAAAAAATATTTCCAAAATGTGTTATATATATCGAGGGCAAATTTGATTTTATGATGAAATTTATTTTCTTTCTCTTGACTTTTCTATTCAACCAAATTAATGAATATTAATCTTAACGTTTTTTTTTTCTTCTCTTCTTATCTATTCTTGTATTTCTTTGAGTCCAAAGATCTTTAAAAATAAAATCTACTTTTTCTTTATTCATTCTTTATTTTTTGTTACTTCTTTCTATTCAACTTCATTATTGACATTTATCTTTTTATCCAAAGTAGTAAAAAAAAATAATTTTATCTTAGTCCCAATTATAAAAAATATATTTTCTTTTTGAAAAAACAAGCTTTTTTCTATATAATTATAATTCTATTTTTAAAATTCTTTTAATTGATAATTTCCTTTTATACCTTTAATTTATTTTGAGTCTATTAATGAATTATCAATTCATTTTTATGAGTAAATGTATTTATTGGACAACTAATAATATAAATCATGTTCATAAATTAATATATATATATATATATATATATATATATATATATATATATATATATCCAATGTCTCAGATATAAAAACATAAATATATAAATAAATTGATCACAACTAGGAGGCTCTTCCACCTTTACTTAAATCAATTTATATTGAGTTTAAAATGATAATATTTCTAGAAAATGGACATATTCATATTACTTTTCAAGAATATCCATATCCTCATGTTATGATTAATGTTTATCATTATTAACTTTTCTCAAGTCTTCTAATTATTTGATTTATTTTTGAATTTGTGTGCAAATTCTGTTATTTGTTTTCAAAAGTATTGATATTTTGAGTCTTTTTTGGGGAGAATTAGAGGCTAAGGTTATACATTCTTGTTGGTGTTCCCGGTAATAAAGTCTAAGTGAGAGATAGTAAATCCTTTGGTAAGCCATGGATAGAGGCCACACCTTTACCACTGTCAAAGAACCCTCAAAATTGTCAATAATTTTTGAAACAATTAGCAATCTAAGAACCAAAAACAAAAATAAACCAATAATTATGAGAGAGAGAATTTATTTACAAAATAAGTACAAAAAAGAAAAGAAGAATGATAACTAAATTTACTGCACCAATGATTAAATTTATCCCCTCTAAAAATATTTTGTTTTTGTTTTTTATTATTTTATCTACTCTTATAATAAGACTCAATTTAAAATAATTATTTGTTATTTTATACAAAACTTAATTTTATATTATTCAAATATTAATTATCATTCTTAGGTTAAAGTGCTATTAATTAAAGTGTATTTTTTAATTTAATAAAATATATTAATCATGAAATATATATATATATATATTCTAATTAATTTGAAGAAAAAATATTAATTAAAAGAAAAAATAACATAAAATATGTAATATAATTAATTAGAGGATATATAAATAGTATAAAAACTATTAATATATATATATAGAATAAATTTATTATTTTCAGTTAAATTAACGAATTTTCTTAATCTATACATCTATACATCTATATCTATACATATCTATACATCTATACATATTATAACCACCCATTTGGTAACTACCCCTTTGGTCTCCACTTTTTAGTGGATGATTATACCCCTTGAATATTAAAAAAAATCTTATATTTTTTCTAAATAACTATCCATAATTATATGCATATTATGAATGAGATATATTTTGGTAACCATTCATTTAATCTTCACTTTTTAGTAGACGATTATACCCCTTGAATATAAAAAAAAATCTTCTTATATTTTTTCTAAATAACATCCATAATTTATAATATTTGTTTGTGTGTAACTATTAAAGACACAAAGTGTCTTGGCCCCTCTAGTTTTAATAAATTAGATAATTAAATTGTATATGTAGAAGTTAGATAATATAAGTTGTGTGTAACTATTAAAGTCACAAAGTGCTTCGACTCCTCTAATTTTAATAAATTAGATAATTAAATTATATATATAGAAATTAAATAATATATCTCCTAAAAAAAAGAAGTTAGATAATATAAGTAAAAGAAAAACAAAATAATTAAATTAATGTAAAAGTTTCTCCCTCTTTTAAATCATTCCGATGGAAGTAAAAAAATTTAAACAAAAAAGCACACTTTCCTCACACGTGTTAAAAAATAAATAGAAATAGAAAACGGAGTATTTAAAAATTAAAACTCAGAGGCCGCACGAAAACGTGCCTCGAAAGTCTTTTGGAGTCCTGGCGCTTCTCGTGCTCCTCCTCGCGGTTCATTTTACTCTCTCTTTCTTCTTTATGCATTCCACTTTTCGTAACGCCCTCAGAATCCGTCAAGTGTTCACTGTTTCCTCGCTCCGTTGCGAGCCCTCACTGCATCATGTTTCTTCTTTAAGCATGACGGCTCCGAACTCCGTCACGCCGATTACCAAACTCCGAAAGGCCTTCGCGGTCGCGGTATTCGTTCTCGCTACCTCGCCGTCGCGAACATGATTCACGGTACTTTACTTTTATTCGTTGAGCTTTCCGCATTCTCGGTTGCGTTATACGAATGCGAATGTATATTTACAAGTTACTAGAATTTAGAACGCACAAAACTCCATCTCTGATCTTAATTACCGGGTCATGTATGATTTTAGGGTTTTGCGGCCATGGGTTATGCTTTGCATGAACGGGTTCCCAGCTGAGGTCTTAGCTTTTTCTTTCTTCTAACGTTATTTTCTTGCATGTTTATCTTTCACTCTGTTTCACATTTTTATTTCTTTGATTTATTTCGTCAAATCCATGTTCTCGTTTCATGTTCTTTTTAAATTTTTCGATTTTTTGACTCTCTTTTTGATTGTTTCTTTTGGCTTTGAAATGATTGCATGTTTATCTCTAACTTGTTCTTTACCTTAACTCTGTTTCATGAATTTGATTCTGTGCTTAATTTTACCAATTCCATGTTTTCATATCATGATCTTTGTTAATTTTCAGTTCTTTGGCTTTCTTTCTTATTGTCATTTTTAGCTTTGATATAATTTAGTGATAATTTCTCAAGTTATGTAATGTTTCTTTTATTGTACATAGCTACTGTATTTATGTGCATGTTTTTTGTTCTAAAGTTTTTTTTTAGGATTTTACCTCTATTGTAAGGAGCTAGACTCCAAATTTTCTTGGTCAACCTAATTCTTATTTATGTCTTTTGGTTGCATACCTCACTTCCTTTTGTGGTTTAGGATAAGTATTTTGAGTCTAGAAAATATAGCACCAAAAGCATTATTAAGTGGGAGAGGTGATAAAATATTTTTATGCAAAAAGTGGTTTTCTTTAAGAATTGGTTACATGAGATGAGTATTAATTTAAAGTAATTATTAAAGTTGCAATTGTATAAGAAAGACAAATGGCTTTTAGAAATAGTCCTCAGAATAATAAGATCGTATACCTCTTTCATTATTTGTCGACAAAAATAATCATCATGTAAATACAACTAATTTTTATCGAGATGAGGGATAAAGACAAATATATAAGATTTTTATGCCCTAAATTTTTTCATGAAGCATACAACATGCATCTAATAATAACCGTCTCAATTTTTGGACATTAGGATGAGGCATAAGATTGTACACCTCTTTCATTATTTGTTGATAAAAATAATCATGTAAATACAAGCAATTTTTATCGAGATGAGGGACAAAGGCAAATATATAGGACTTTCATACCATATATTTTTTCACGATGCATACATGCTTCTAGTAATAACCGTCTCAATTTTTTGACATCAGGATGAGGCATAAGATCGTATACCTCTTTCATCATTTGACGACAAAAATAATCATGTAAATACAAGTAATTTTTACCGACATGAGGGACAAAGGCAAATATATAGGACTTCCATGTCATATATTTTTTCACGATGCATACAACATGCATCTATTAATAACCGTCTCAATTTTTTGACATCTTGATGACGTATAAGAAGATCGTACACCTCTTTCATCATTTGTCGAGAAAAATAACCATCATGTAAATACAACCAATTTTTACCAATGATGAGAAACAAAGGAAAATATATAAAACTTTTATGTCCTATATTTTTCACGATGCATACAATATGTAGCGAAAAATAATTGTCTCAATTTTTCAACATTAGGATGAGGCATAAGAAGATCGTATACCTTTTCAATCATTTGTCGACAAAAATAATCATGTAAATACAACTAATTTTTAGCAAGATGAGTGATAAAGGCAAATATATAAGACTTTCATGTCTTATCTTTTATCACAATGCATACAACATGCATCTAATAATAACTGTCTCAATTTTTCGACATCAGGAAGAGGCACAAGAAGATTATACTTCTTTTATCATTTGTGGACAAAAATAATCTTCATGTGACTACAACCAATTTTTACCGAAATGAGGGACAAACAAATATATAGGACTTTCGTGTTTATATTTTTTGACGATGACTACCTCATGCATCTAACAAAAACCATCTCAATTTTTTGACATCAGGATGAGACATAAGAAGATTGTATACCTTTTTCATCATTTGTCGACAAAAATAGTTATAATGTAAATATAACCAATTTTTACCGAGATGAGGGACAAAGGCAAATATATAGAACTTTCGTGCCCTATATTTTTTGACGATGACTACATCATGCATCTAATAATAACCGTCTCAATTTTCGACATCAGGAAGAGATATAAGAAGATCGTATACATCTTTCATCATTTGTCGACAAAAATAATCATCAAGTAAATACAAGCAATTTTTACCAAGATGAGAGACAAAGAAAATATATAGGACTTTTATGCCCTATATTTTTTCATGATGCATACAACGTGCATCTAATAATAATCGTCTCAATTTTTCGACATCAGGATGAGGCATAAGAAGATCGTATATATCTTTCATCATTTGTTGACAAAAATAATCATCATGTATATACAAACAATTTTTACCGAGATGACGGACAAAGACAAATATATAGGACTTTCGTGCCCTATATTTTTTCACGATGACTACAACATGCATCTAATAATAACTGCCTAACTTTTTTGACATCAGAATGATGCATAAGAAGATCGTATACCTCTTTCATCATTTGTCGAGAAAAATATTCATCATGTAAATACAATCAATTTTTACCGAGATGAGGGACAAAGACAAATATATAGGACTTTCGTGCCCAATATTTTTTCATGATGCATATAACATGCATTCAATAATAACCGTCTCAATTTTTCGACATCAGGATGAGGCATAAGAAAATCGTATACCTCTTTCATCATTTGTCGAAAAAATTAATCATCATGTATATACCAATAATTTTTACGCAGATGAGGGACAAAGACAATTATATAGGACTTTCGTGCCCTATATTTTTTCACCATGACTACAACATGCATCTAATAATAACCGCCTCACGTTTTCGACATCAAGATGATGCATAAAAAGATCGTATACCTCTTTATTCATTTGTCGACAAAAATAATCATTATGTAAATACAACCAATTTTAACCAAGATGAGGGACAAAGACAAATATATAAGACTTTCATGCCTTATATTTTTTCATGATGCACACAACATGCATCTAATAATAATTGTGTCAATTTTTCGACATCAGGATGAGACATAAGAAGATCGTATATATCTTTCATCATTTGTCGACAAAAATAATCATCATGTAAATACAACCAACTTTTACCGAGAATTGGGACAAAGACAAATATATAGGACTTTCGTGCCCTATATTTTTTCACGATGACTACAACATGCATCTAATAATAACCGCCTCACTTTTTCGACATCAAGATGACGCATAAGAAGATCGTATACCTCTTTAATCATTTGTCGACAAAAATAATTATCAAGTAAATACAACTAATTTTTACCGAGATGAGGGACAAAGGCAATTATATAGGGCTTTCATCCCCTACATTTTTTCATGATACATACAACAAACATCTAATAATAACCGTCTCAATTTTTTGACATTAGGATGAGGCATAAGAAGATCGTATATATCTTTCATCATTTGTCGACAAAAATAATCATCATGTATATCCAAATAATTTTTACCGACATGACAGACAAAGACAAATAAATAGGACTTTCGTGCCCTATATTTTTTCATGATGACTACAACAAACATCTAATAATAACCATCTCAATTTGTCGACATCAGGATGAGCTTTAAGAAGATCGTATAGCTCTTTCATTATTTGTTCAGAAAAATAATCATCATCTAAAAACAACCAATTTTTACCAAGATGAGGGACAAAGGGAAAATATATAGGACTTTCATGCCCTATATTTTTTCACGATGCATACATCATCTAATAATAACCGTCTCAATTTTTCAACATCAGGATGAGGCATAAGAAGATTGTATATCTCTTTCATCATTTGTCGACAAAAATAATCATCATGTAAATACAACCAGTTTTTACCGAGATGAGGGAGAAAGGCAAATATATAGGACTTTTGTGCCCTATATTTTTTGATGATGCATACCGCATGCATCTAATAATAATCGTCTCTATTTCTTGACATCAAGATGAGGCATAAGGAAATCGTATACCTCTTTCATCATTTGTTGACAAAAATAATCATCATGTAAATATAACCAACTTTTACCGAAAAGAGGGACAAAGGCAATTATATAGGACTTTCATGCCCTATATTTTTTCACGATGCATACAACATGCATCTAATAATAATTGTCTCAATTTATCGACATCATGATGAGGCATAAGAAGATCGTATACCTGTTTCATCATTAGTCGACAAAAATAATCATGTAAATCCAATCAATTTTTACCGAGATGAAGGACAAAGGGAAATATATAGGACTTTCATGTCCTATATTTTATCACGATAACTACAAATTGCATCTAATAATAACCGTCTCAATATTTCGACATCAGGATGAAGCATAAGAAGATCGTATACCTCTTTCATCATTTATAGGCAAAAATAATTATCATGTAATTGCAACCAAATTTTACCGAGATGAGGGTCAAAGATATTATATAGCATTTTCAGGCACTATATTTTTTCACGATAAATACAACATGCATCTAAAAATAACCGTATCAAATTTTCAACATCAGGATGAGGCATAAGAAGATCGTATAACTCTTTCATCATTTGTCGACAAAAGTAATCATGTTGTAAATATAACCAATTTTTACCGAGATGAGGGACAAAGGTAAATATATAGGACTTTCATGTCCTATATTTTTTCATGACGGATACAACATGTATCTAATAATAACCATCTCAATTTTTAGACATCAGGATTAGACATAAGAAGATCGTATACCTCTTTCATCATTTTTTAACAAAAATAATCATCATATAAATACAACCAATTTTTACCAAGAGGAGGGACAAAGACATGTATATAGAACTTTCATGTCTTATATTTTTTCACGATGCGTACAACATGCATCTAATAATAACCGTCACAATTTTTTGACATCAGGATGAGGGATAAGAAGATCGTATACCTCTTTCATCATTTGTCGACAAAAATAATCACGTAAATTCAACCAATTTTTATCGAGTTGAGGGACAAAGACAAATATATAGAACTTTCATGCCCTATATTTTTTCATGATGACTACAACATGCATCTAAAAATAACCGTCTCAATTTATTGACATCAGGATGAAGCATAAGAAGATCGTATACCTCTTTCATCAATTGTCGACAAAAATAATTATCATGTAAATACAACCAATTTTTACCGAGATGAGGAACAAAGGCAAATATATAGGACTTTCATGCCCTATAATTTTTCATGGTGCATACAACATGCATCTAATAATAAACGTCTCAATTAATCAACATCAGGATGAGGCATAAGAAGATCGTATTCCTCTTTCATCATTTGTCAACAAAAATAATCATCATGTAAATACAACCATTTTTTACCGAGATGAGGGATAATGACAAATATATAGGACTTTCATGCCCTATATTTTGTTACGATGCATATAATAATAACCGCTTCAATTTTTCGACATCAGGGTGAGGTATAAGAAGATCGTATACCTCTTTCATCATTTGTCGACAAAAATAATCATCATGTAGATACAACCAATTTTTACCGAGATGAGGGACAAATGTAAATATATAGGACTTTCATCCCCAATATTTTTTCATGATGGATACAACATGCATCTAATAATAACCGTCTCAATTTTTAGACATCAGGATTAGGCATAAGAAGATCGTATACCTCTTTCATCATTTGTCGACAAAAATAATCATCATGTAAATATAACCAATTTTTACCGAGAGGACACTACCTCAAAAACATCAATAGATGGCGCTTATTTTAATGATAGACAACGCTTAAAAAGCGCTCTCTATTTGAACGATGTCTATTAATAGATAGCGCTTCTAAAAAAGCGCTATCCATGTATATGCAAATAGAAAGCACTTTCTTTTAAGTGCGCTATCTATGCCGAAGTACCTACATGACGTTTTTTCAAAGAAGTGCTTTCTATCTTTGAATGTATAGACAACACTTTACGTTAAAGCGTTGTCTTTAGTTTATCTTATAAAAAGCGCCGGTAGAGAAAGCGCTTTCTATATTCTAGCCAATAGAAAGCGCTTCCTTATATAAGCGCTATTTATATGTTTTTTTTTTTTTTTAATATTTTTTCACATCATTGACACTTGTTGATTCTGCTATACATGCAAAAATAATCCCAAGGCATAGAAACCAATCAATCAAGAATGTATCCAAATCTAATTCAAAAATATAATGTATAATGCATACATTAAAATTAAAAGATTAGTTTATATAAACCTAACATATATTACATTTAGTTTGTTGTAATAATAGTTACATATATCTAAACACAATCAATGCTTGTCCATTACCATGCAACTCCTAGTCTTAGACTCAAATAATAAAAAAATGTATATAGACCTAACATATTATATTTAGTTATTTGACATCAACTCGATAGTAACATATAATCAATGCTTGTCCAATATCATGTAGTTCTCGCTCTTAGAATATTCCACAGCCCATTGGTTCTGCAAAGAAAAGAAAAATTGTAAGTCACCAACTAGATACAATATAAAAGAAAATGTATAAGGATTAAAAAAATAGCATAAAAGAAAAGTGGCATGGCCTAAAAATACAATACAAACATGTTTTCAAATCATGAATTAAGAAACTGTAACAACAACGGTTGCTCTTTCAATTCCCAATTATAATTCAACAATAGGAGACACAATTCCTAATATTTATAGTATACACGTTGCAAATCTTCCTCATGTTAAAAAAACAGATAAGGTACTTATTATGAATTTGATTTTCCAGATTCAATAGCAGCTGATGCTTCTCTAAGGATTTAATTCATTCCTCCATAATTACAGGGAATATAAGAATACTTTGTTCAAACATTGTAGTTTGTGTACACAAGTCCACAACTAGGGGTGTAAACAGTGACATTTGGTTTCCTTCAAGCTTGAACACAAGTCAAACTGAGTTTACATGGTTCACAATTTTTGACCCTTCTTCCGCATTTTAAAAGTAATGACAAGGTTCTCAATTATGAATTTGATTTTCCAGATTCAATAGCAGCTGATGCTTCTCTATGGATTTCAACTCATTCCTCAATAATTACAGGGAATATAAGAATACAGTGTTCAAACTTGGTAGTTCATGTAAATATAAATCCACATGTGTAAATGGTGACATTTGGTTTGGTTGAATCTTGTACACGTCTTTCAATTAAAACAAAAAGAATGCAAAAGAATTAAACTGCAAGAACCTCTAAAAGGATGTGAAATTAAAAATTACAACAAATATGTATCAAACAAATATACCTGAAGAACACGAGATGAGATGTGAGACCCTGCAATCTCCGCAATCTTCCCCTTCATCTTTTGCAACGCTTCTGTCACTAACCTTCAATTATATAAAAGTCCAAAGCCATAAGGAGAATAAAAAAACAAAAGGCTTAGCTTGCCATCTATGAAATATCAGTCCCTAATATCTTTCTTATAGGAACATACCTAGCTCTGTCCTCTTTAGCAATTTCATGACGTCTCATCTTTTCCCATAAATGTGCAAGCTCCTGTTTATAATGAACCAAAATTAAATTAAAATTAAATAACACCTCATGAACTCTCATCCATCAAACATTCAACTCAACAGATAAAAGAACAATATATAAATTAATAACATGTACAAATATGAATATGTATGTACTCACTTGCTCAAGAGTGTAATGCCTCTTTCTCTTCTTTTTCATGGCATCCGTGAGTTCCTGAGTTGAAACAATCATAGCCTCAACTAATCAATCAAAACAAATAATCTACAAATGCTTCTCCAATTAATTTAATTGTCATAAAACAAATCAGAAATTGCATAAAACCTCAATATGTCAGTACTATTATCTACATCACAAACTGCGCAACAGATACATACTATGATATTTCGAACAAATGTAATAAAGAGGAGAAACCTTGGCTTGAAGTCGACGTTGTCGGCCCGTAAGAGGAGTCTTCGTCTTCTCTTTACCAACCGAATCTGGTTTGTGCTTCTTTGAGGCAACGAACTTGGAAACCTTGGAATTAGAGGGACCTTCATGAGTTTCAATATTAAGTCTCTTTCTCTTGTTGGTTTTTACGGCGTCCTGCTTCTTCGCGGCCATTGCTGCAGCTCTAACTTTCGTTTGCCAAGTTGAATCACTTGCAGCTATCGCTGGAACAGTATCTTATCAACAAAAGACTATTCACTTTCTGATAAAACAAATAGCCTTTTAGTTATTTCCAACAAATTTCAGCTAATAACAGTGAGTGTCTTAGAAACATGAGCGAAGAAAGTGAAGAACGCATGAACACAAACATGAGCAAATAAGTACATAAATGAAAAAGAAAAGAAAATGGTGTAACGGAAACGGAAGGTGCGAAGAGTTAGAGAGAATGTGCAACGGAAACGGAGGGTGCGACGAGTTAGAGAGAAAATGGCGCAGCGGAAGGGATGGAATGTGAAGGATGGACGAAACCCTAGCACAGAGACAGAGAATGTGCGAAGAAGCTAAAGGGCTTCCACGCGAGGTAGAATACTGAAGGTTAACGTGGGTGTGAAGGAAAACAAAGAACCGTGGGTTATGAAGAAAGTGAATACACAAATGCATGAAGTGAATTGGCCCATTAAACAAAAGACCTAGAAAGCATTTTTTTAATAAGTGTTTTGCAATTATTTTTCTGAAAATATTATTTTTCAATGAGCGCTATATATAATAATTTTTTAAAAAAAATAGTTAATTTATAAAATTTTATAAATGACGCTTCTATTTATACGCGTTGTGTATTTATTTTCTTTAGAAAGCACTTTTTTATAAAAGTGCTATAACATATTTTTTTATAAAAGACCAATAGAAAGCGTTTTTTAATAAGCGCTTCACAGTTATTTTTTTTTTAAATGTTATTTTTCAATGAGTGCCATAATAATTTTTTAAAAAAATAATCAATTCATAAAATTTTATAAATGACGCTTCTATTTACACACGCTGTCTATTTATTTTCTTTTATAAAGCACTCTTTTAGAAAAGCACTATAACATTATTTTTTATAAATAAAATAACATAAAGATAGCATTTTTTTATTAAGCGCTTTCTATATAAAACCTTATTATAGCGCTTATTTAATTAAGCGCTCTTTTAACGTTTCATGTTTTAAAACACAACACTTATTAATTAAGCGCTATCTAAATAGTGCTATCTATTACCACTTTTAGAAAGCACTTTTTAATAAAAGTGCTATAACATATTTTTTTATAAATAAAATAACACAAAGATAGCATTTTTTTTAATTAACCGCTCTCTATATAAAACTATATTATAGCGCTTATTTAATTAAGCGCTTTTTTAACGTTTCATGTTTTAAAACACAGCACTTATTAATTAAGCGCTATCTAAATAGTGCTATCTATTGCCACTTCTGGTGTAGTGGGAGGCACAAAGGCAAATATATAGGACTTTCATCTCTCATATTTTTTCATGATACGTGCAAGATGCATCTAATAATAACCATCACAATTTTTCGACATCAGGATGAGGCATAAGAAGATCGTATACCTCTTTCATCACTTGTCGACAAAAATAATCATCATGTAAATCCAACCAATTTTTACCGAAATGAGGGACAAAGGCAAATATATAGGACTTTCGTGCCATATATTTTTTCACGATGACTAAAACATGCATCTAATAATAACCGTCTCAATTTATCGATATCAGGATGAGGCATAAGAAGATCGGATGCCTCTTTCATCACTTGTCGACAAAAATAATCATTATGTAAATACAACCAATTTTTACCGAGATGAGGGACAAAGGTAAATATATATGACTTTCATGCCCTATATTTTTTTACGATGCATACAACATGCATATAATAATAACTGTCTCTATTTTTCGACATCAGGGTGAGGTATAAGAAGATCGTATACCTCTTTCATCATTTGTCGACAAAAATAATCATCATGTAAATACAACCAATTTTTACTGAGATGAGGGACAAAGGCAACTATATAAGACTTTCATGCCCTATATTTTTTTACGATGCATACAACATGTATATAATAATAACCGCCTCTATTTTTCGACATCAGGGTGAGGTATAAGAAGATCGTATACCTCTTTCATCATTTGTCGACAAAAATAATCATCATGTAAATACAACCAATTTTTACTGAGATGAGGGACAAAGGCAACTATATAAGACTTTCATGCCCTATATTTTTTCACTATTTTGTATTGTTTTTAGGTCAATTTTTTTAAGCACTCATTCTTTTGTTATTCTCATGCATTTAGAACACTCACACCTCTGTTTTGTCTCTGTTTTAAGGCTAAAAAAATTACAAAAGGTTTCAGTCACACAACAAGACACAAAGAAACCTTATAGGAAAGTGTTTAACAATTTTATTTGACAAAACTTTTAACAAGACATAATAGAAACCTAACTCTAGGAAATTTGCTAGAACTAATAGCAAATTAAGAACTCAAACATGTAAAGCAAAAGCACATATAGTAAGGTACAGATTCAATAAGCAAAGACACAAAAATTTCGGACACAACAACACAAAACAAAAATTAGGTCAAACAAGCTAGTCTAGGAAGTTTCAACATACAAAGGACTACACATGACTTTCTAAGACAAAACAATTGATTCAAAAACAAAATCTAAACTCAATGCATGTTGTCCAATCACGGACACATGTGAATGAATGGAGAGAACGGATACCACTCCCTACACTGTTGCTCAACCTCCCAAGTAGCCACACTAGTAGTTGCATCCCACAACACTTTCACTAGAGCAATGGACTTGCCCCTCAACTCCTTCAGCTTATGATCAACCACAGCTACTGTCAACTTCTCATACGTCAGATTCTCCTTCACCCGTACATTATCCAGCTCCACCACATGACTAGGGTCATGATGGAGTTCACTTGGAGAAGGTTGATGTTCTTCAAGTGCTCCATGCTTAGGACCGTGAATGTTCTTGAGGTCAAGACTCCAATGACTCTTTGAAGCTCCTTGAAGTGTTCTTCAATGGAGAAGAGGCCTTGAAGTGGTTCGGTTTTCCTTAGCTTGCATAGGAAGCTTGAGGAACCAAGTCAAAAGTAGAAGAACTTTTGAGAGAAACCTTAGAGTGTGGGTTCTCTTCGGTTTTGGAGACTCTTGAGTGAGAGAGAAAATCTGATTTCTATTCTCAAAATATTCAAAAGTGAGTACAAGAGAGGTAATTACAAATATATAGGGTAGAGGTAGCTTCTAGGAGAAGCTAACCTTAACCATGGTTCACTAGGAACCATGGTAAGGTAAGCTTAACTCTCCACGGTTTAGCAAGCTTGTAGGAGAAGCTAACTTTGACCATGGTTCACTTAAGAACCATGGTAAAGTAAGCTTAACCTACTAAGGTTTAGAAGCTTGCAAGGCAAGCTTCAAACCTTGAAGAGGAGACAAGTAATTTTGGCCATGAACAAAGGAAGGAGGCTAGGCGGCCTTGGGTTCAATTTGCTCCATGAATTAATTCAAAAATTCTTGATTTGGTTTAGTTAGGTTTATCATATGATGATGAGACCTAGCTAAATCAAATCTATGAAAAATTAGGAGCAAAATGAATCCAATATGCAAAATTTTGCCTAGGCCCAGTTCTGGTCCAATTACTAGTCACACCCTCAAGCATTGCTAAATGCCACCCCTTTTTCCCTACTGAAAAAATACAAAATGAATGTCTCAACTAAGGAGGTTAAATGGAGCTAAACTCTCCAAGTAGCCCACCTTAAAAACAATATACAAACACTAGGAAAAAGCAAGTAAAGTGCCTCACAAATACAAAGGAAAAAATAACCTATACAAAAGAACTACTATATGTACAAACATAAGAAAAAGGTCTTTAAGATCATCCCATTCCTCTTGGTTCTTTTAGTATATCACCTCTTGGATTCCTTGACCTTGGACATAGTCTATCAAGTTTCATCTCTCATATTTTTTCACGATACGTACAACATGCATCAATAATAGCCGTCACAATTTTTCGACATCAGGATGAGGCATAAGAAGATCGTATACCTCTTTCATCATTTGTCGACAAAATAATCATGTAAATCCAACCAACTTTTACGGAGATGAGGGACAAAGGCAAATATATAGGACTTTCATGTCCTATATTTTTTCACGATGCGTACAACATGCATATAAAAATAACCATCTGAATTTTTCGACATTAGGATCAGGCATAAGAAGATCGTATACCTCTTTCATCATTTGTCGACAAAAATAATCATCATGTAAATCCAACCAATTTTTACTGAGATGAGGGACAAAGGCATATAGGACTTTCATGCCATATATTCTTTCACCATGACTACAACATGGATCTAATAACCGTCTTAATTTATCGACATCGGGACGAGGCATAGGAAGATCGTATACCTCTTTCATCATTTGTCGACAAAAATAATCATCATGTAAATCCAACTAATTTTTACCGAGGCGATGGACAAAGGCAAATATATAGGACTTTCATGCCCTATTTTTTTTCATGATGCATACAACAGGCATCTAATAATAACCGTCTTAATTTATCGACATCGGGACGAGGCATAGGAAGATCGTATACCTCTTTCATCATTTGTCGACAAAAATAATCAACATGTAAATCCAACTAATTTTTACCGAGGTGATGGACAAAGGCAAATATATAGGACTTTCATGCCCTATATTTTTTCACGATGACTACAACATGCATCTAATCATAACCGTCTCAATTTATCGACATCAGGATGAGGCATAAGAAGATCGTATACCTCTTTCATCTTTTGTCGACAAAAATAATCATCATATAAATACAACCAACTTTTACCGAGATAAGGAAAAAAGACAAATATATAGGACTTTAATGCCCTATATTTTTTTACGATGCATATAATAATAACTGTTTCATTTTTTCGATATCAGGATGAGGCATAAAAAGATCGTGTACCTCTTTCATCATTTGTCGACAAAAATAATCATCATGTAAATACAATCAATTTTTACCGAGATGAGGCACAAAGGTAAATATATAGGACTTTCATGCCCTATATTTTTTCATGATAGAAACAACATGCATCTAATAATAACCGTAAAAAATTTTCGACATTAGGATGAGGCATAAGAAGATTGTATACCTCTTTCATCATTTGTCGACAAAAATAATCATCATGTAAATCCAACTAATTTTTACCGAGATGAGGGACAAAGGTAAATATATAGGACTTTCATGCCCTATATTTTTTCACGATGGATACAACATGCATATAATAATAATCGCCTCAATTTTTCGACATCAGGGTGAGGTATAAGAAGATCGTATACCTCTTTCATCATTTGTCGACAAAAATAATCATCATGTAAATACAACCAATTTTTACCGAGATGAGGGACAAAGGACACTATATAGGACTTTCATGTCCTCTATTTTTTCACGATGCGTACAACATGCATCTAATAATAACCGTCTCAATTTATTGACATCAGGATGAGGCATAAGAAAATCGTATAACTCTTTCATCATTTGTCAACAAAAATAATCCCGAA